CAGTGGGTGCAGTGCTCTGACTGCACAGACGGCCTGCAGTGGGTGCACGGTGCTCTGACTGCACAGCCTGCCTATGGGCTAAACAGGCAGAGTGACAGCTAAACTCTGCCAAAGAGGTTTACTTAATGTAGCCTTTTTGATTCTTTATAAATAGAAGCCAACCAAACACACATTTCTAAGGATGAAAACCAACTGGCCCTGGCCGTGGAGTCCCTAGAAAATGGAAGAAACTATTTCATTAAACCACTAACGAAGTACTGTTAGCACTAGAACAAGTCATCCGAGGATAAAGAAGTGAAAGAAAATCTGTTAATTTTGTAAATCTTACAAAGCTTACAGTATCTTAACACCCACTACAGTAAGCTGTTAGAGGAGAAACCTGCTTAAAGGTAGATCCTAATAGCCTCTTCAAAACTGACAAAAAAATAGATATTTTACTAACTATAGCCATGAATCATTTATGGAACCTATACTGACTGGCAGTTACTTTTATTTCTGTTTACATGGTGAGGTGCAACTGAAACCCTTTCTCCTACTCATGCTCATGTTAAAGATCCTTTGCGGTTGGACATGGATATCTACCATGGCACCTGAGTGCTGATTAGTAGTCTTACTGCAAGACAGAAGCTACTAGGGTAGTCAGCTCGTGCTGTCCAGCCCCAGATGTGCCAACTTCCCTTTTCATACTGTTTTTGTATTAGATATATGCCACCTTCTTCTCTTTTTCCTTTAACAATAAAAATACAACACAACTTTAAAAACAAACAACTAAAAACCAAGAATCTCACAGAGAAAGTATCTGCAGCTCTATATAACTCTATATAACACCTCTTACCTCCACAATAATAACTTTGCCTTTATCAGATGTGCAATCACTAATATACTATACTTATGAAATATGGGCAATGGTTTAAACACAGGAAGGGACAATGTGTCCTTGCTCTTGCCCACTCTTCTCACGTCTTACTGAGCATCTGCATACAGCAGAATGCTTGCTGAGAAGTCGGTAAAGAGTGAAGCAACACAACAAGGTTGCAGCCCTCTGTGCTTCACTGCTGCTGTTTTTTATCCGCTCTCAGCATCAGGTCAGACAACAGGATTTTTGACTAAACAACATACAACTTGTTGGTTATTTTTATCCCTGACTGCTTCCCAAATTTGTTGTCGTTGGGTTCTATAACTGAATTATCTTCCTTTTTACTCTGGAACAATCTTCTTTATTCATATTCATTTTCTAATCAGAAAACATATTTAAATAAAGTCAGGGGGGAAAGCAGAGGCAGTACTGCTCAATTCTCATGGCCATTGACCACTTTTCATATCACTGAGCCATGACTAATGACATAAAGAAGGACACAACTGGAACAGCAGAGACAAAACAGTCATCACGGATCATTCATTTCAGTTAACACTTGGGGGAGGCATACAACCCTCATATAAAAAAATTGTCAGACAGAAGAGATATACAACATGAGAGCTGATCAGATAATGTGAAGTTTTACAAGGAGAGCGGGTGAGCCTAGAAGAGGAAACACAGTATTGAAGAAAAAGAGCAAAGTTGGAAGGCTGATACTTTCAATCTCAAGATTTACTACAGAGCTACCATACTCAAAACAGTATGGTACATAATGAATGAAAGAACAGACTCCCAGGTCAGAGGAGCAGAATGGAACCCAAAACAGACCCACATAAACACAGGCAAGAATCTTAGACAAAGGAGAGTTAAGGTGGAAGCTTTCTTAACAAACAGTGCTAAGACAACAGAATAGTCAACTGAAAACTGAAATCTAGACCTTAGTTATGCCCATCACAAAAAAGAACTCAAATGAACGACAACCCCAAAGAAAAAACACAAAACTATAGAACTGCTACCTGGCACCCTGAGAAAATCTAAATGACTTTGGCTTGGCAGTCATTTTTAGAGAGAGCAGGGATGACTCAGGAGAGAAATAATTGGCAAAGTATATTAAAATACACAGAACCATCAAGAAATTGAAAAATCAAGCCATAGAATGGGAGAAAATATTTGCATATGACATACTTGATTGTGACTCTTTCTTCAAGTTCAACAGTGAGGAAAGGAACAAGTCAATTAGAAAACAGGTGAAAAGCTAACTGATCATCACAATGAAGAAGTTATATAGGTGGCAACAAGCTCAAGAAAAGATGTTCGCCGTCGGCAAGCATTAGAGAATTGCAAAAGACAACAAAGGAGGTAAAGCAAAGAAAAGGCAGAGGTAATGTCCTGCATTAGAAGGGTTCACATCTAAAGCAGCATCAAGCTAGTTGAAGACCGAGGCAATGGAAACTCTTACTGTGGATGCAGGAACTTCAGAAGACCATGTGGCATTAAACATGATCTAAGACCTAGCAAACAAACCTTTTAGTGTTCAACTAAAATGAGTAAAAACTTAAACACAAAACCTGCAAAAATGTTCAAGCAGCATCATTTACAACTTCTCAACCTTGAAGGTAGCTGAGATGGTTTTTAGTTGGCAAATGACTATCAGACAACAGAGGATAAGGTTGGGGGTGGAGGACCTGGAATGAGCTGGGGGCGAGGACTAGATCTGATCAAAACACACACATACATGTAGAAATTCTCAGAGATAAATAAAGACATTTTTAAAAAGTGCTTGGAATATGCCCATAGTTTATTAGAAATGTATGAATCTATAATTATCTCAAAATCTTATTAATATGTAGCAATATTTACACATTAGTAGGACAACATCTAGAAATATATACAAAAAAGATTAATACTGATGTTGGTGAGAGGAGATGAGATTTTTTTGATGTGGGATGTCCTATGTATATGTGTTGCTATTAGTGGTTGATGAATAAAGCTGTTTCGACCAATGGCTTAGCAGAGTAAAGTCAGGAGGGGAATGCGAACAGAGATAGATAGAATCAAGGCAGATACTATGTAGCTGCTGAAGGAGTAACATGCTACACCAGTAAGCCATGGCTTTGTGGTGATACACAGATTAATAGAAATGGGTTAATTTAAGATGTAAGAGCTAGTTAAATAATAAGCCTGAGACATTGGCCAAACAGTGCTGTAATCAATTCAGTTTCTGTGTGATTATTCAGGTCTGGGTGGCCGGGAAATGAAGGCACAGGCTTGGTTTACAATTTTCAATTTCTTCTTAAAACATGAATGTATAACAAATTTTTTTCAATGAGCATGCTCTAATAGCAAGAAAAATAAAACTATTTTTATTATGAAAAAGAAAAGTAATATATACCATTGTATATATTTCACTGAATATTTTACTTTATAATCCCATGATAAGAATTTAAGGACTACTTTTACCTTTTCTTTTTCTGTGTGCATGCATGTGTGTTTGTGTATGTGTGACATGAACGTGTTCATGTGGGAATGTTCATACACGTGTATAGGCTACAGCCTTTAATCAGTAAGGTTGCCAAAGCTACATGGATATAATAAATGTACCCATACTAAAGTGTATTTGATTCAAACAGTAACTGAAAAGTAAGACACTTTTAAGGGTGCCTTAGAGAATGAGATACATGAACGTTCAGTTTATGCTAACCCATTTTCTCTCTGGTCATTCTTCAAACTTATCTCCGTTTTCACTGTCGTCATCTTTCGGGCTGAAAACTCATCTTCTAGTGCACCACATCCAAGTCATGCCTGTGCTGAGCTCCTACACCTTTGAACATGTCCCCTCTCTAAGTGTGGTTTGAAAGAAAGCGGCCCCCAAAGGAAGTGGCACTCCAGGGAGGTGTGGACTATTTGGAGTAGAAGTGGCCCTGTTGGGGGAAGTGTGTCCTTGTTGCCTTTGGATCAGGACGTAGACTTCTCCAGCACCATGTCTGCCTGCATGCCACCATACTCCCAGCTCTCATGCTCCCCACCATGGTAACGATAAACTAAACCTCTGAAACTGTAAGAGTTGCTGTGGCCATGCTGCCTTTTCAGAGCAACAGAAGCCCTAAGACACTAAGCAAGTGTTTTCCATTTCACTCAGCCTCCATTTTATACTGGATTTTTAGCAGAAAATGTTTTGTTCTCCAGCATATATTTGGAAGCCTCCTTCTGCTTTCTGCATATTATTTCTTCAGATTATAGCTTACAAATATGAGGATATATCTATAGACCCAGTTCTGTGAAAAATGTTTGCTATGAAATATTATTGAATAGATTGTTTTTAGACAAGTCATTCTAAAATTAAAAAAAAAATATATTGCCTTAAGTATACCAAGAAGCAGGCAGTTTGAGATCAGCCTGATCTACAGAGAGAATTCCAGGGTACCCAGGGCCATACAGTCAGACCCTGTCTCCAAAGCAGTATAGCACTATAGTATTTGGTGCTACCTGTCATCATATTACAAAACGTAATTTAATTGCTTTCACTTTGATGACTTTGATGTCTTTCCTGGTTCCAGTGGACCATAAAGATTTTTCATTTTTCCTCAGAATTGGAAATAAATTAGGGAAAAGGAATAAAATTTTACTTTGAAGTGTTTTCCATAACACTTATGCTGGCTATTTAGACTGGAATATAAATCCTTCAAGATATGGTTTTCCTGCATTCTGTAGCAGGCATTCTGAAGTGGTCCCAGTGCACACTAGCCCCAGGGTTACAGTCACCCTCCAGCCCACGAAGGATTACTCACCGGACTTTCTTGCTTTCATCGCAATAACAGCCGCTAGCTCTCTCTGCACCTAAGAAAATATTAGGGAAACAAATCATGTTAGAATAAGAAAAATGGAGCCACCAAGGCAGCACTTGGTTTGGAGCTAAGGAGCTGCTGTGGAGACCAAGCTTGCCGCCATCACTGCCTTCTCCCCTCTCTTCAGTATGAGAAAAACTGTGGCAGCATTTCAGAACAAAAATGTGGAAGAAATCACATTTACTTTTTTAAAGAGAGTGATTTTTTATTAATTTATTTAATTTTTAAAAGTCTATTTGCCAAAAAGTGCACATTGTGACGTACATATGCCATGATGAGTTCTTTGACAACAACTATATGTTGCACTCAGAAACAGTACGGATATGAACTGTTAGAATGATACTCTGACAAGCGTAGTAAGGATTAAGCATCCCCGAGGATGCCTGTTTACGTTAGGAATTCCAGATGACCTCGGCTCTGACACATGGACTTTTGCTGCACCTGAGCAGGTGGCAGGAGCCAGCTGGAATAAGATGCAAGTAAAGCAAAGGGCACTGGCATAGGGCAGGCAAAATAGACAAGAGTCTTTAACCATGTCTACCTTCCAAAATTTTAGTTTTTAAATGCTGACGCTCTGCCAGTTTGAATGCTTAAATCTGCCCTTTAAAACATCACACAATGAACATTGCACGTGAAGCTGTGTGGACAGGAGGGTCCACGGCGCGGCATGCAGCAGCTCCCAGTGCCACCGAGAATGAGGAGGGGACGCAGGGGTGGGAAGATGGCGGGGCAAAGTGCCTTTTCGGGTTTGAGTGTTTGCTTTTTTTGTTGTTATCTTTGTTTGTTTTTGAGATTTTTGTTGTTTTTAATCAATATTCTTACTCATATTTTTATATTTTATTTTTATTGTTTGTTTTTAAGCTTTTCTTGGTGGGGGATGGTACAAGGGTGAAGGATACAGTGGGACTGGGAAATGAGTGGGGTTGGAATGCATGATGTGAAATTCCCAAAGAATCAATAAAAATTTATGTTAAAAAAGCATGATGTGAAATTCCCAAAGAATCAATAAAAATTTATGTTAAAAAACTCTCAACGAGAAACATCAAAGACAAAAAACGATAAGTATACTTATTATTAAGATAATATAAACACATTCTTGAAGACAGCCATGTTTGATAGCAATGAAAAAAAAAACCATAGTGAATGAGTCCTTTCCTCATCTAGGCACAACCTCTTAAGAGTGTGTGTGTGTGTGTGTGTGTGTGTGTGTGTGTGTGTGTGTACCTGAATATATTACAGTAATGACACTTAAAAGGGGAAACATGGGAGTTCAAGGTCAAATTTCAGATTTGCCATTCAGATTAATTTAATTTACATTCATTTACTGGAAGGCAAGAGTGTTAATGTGTTAGCCCGTGAGAGTCCATGCAGAACCAGTTCCCAGTGGCCCAGGCATCAGCTTCCTAAGGAAGCTTGCTCGGCGGTTTTCACTGACACACTTTCCTTATGGGGTGCACAAACGCCATTCAAAAGTGCTTTCCCCTGATTTAGCTGATTCTTCAATGCCCGAGACTCTTGTGACAATTACACAATAGTGAGTAGGCAGGAGGTCTCTTTCTCTTCAACCTTGGGAGTTTGAAGTCTGAAAATGGTCATGAATGGAAGGTTTATGGGGAAAGAACAAGGTGGGGAGGATACTGAGGAAGTAAGAACTGAAGAGTGACCACAGGAAAACATCTAGAAATACATTGTATTTGCTCAAATAAGTAAAAAAGTAGCAAAACAAAGTACCAATCATTGAACATTTATATTTTGAGTTGTGTACTGTAGCATTGTTATCTGTTTTAGGATTTTCCTCCTTCACAATGCCACAAAACTGGGAATGGAACAAAGATGCGGATTATGAACGCTCCTTGGCATCCTGTCAACGGCTGCCTGATCTGTGACCTCCCAGGAAGGTCTCACTGTAGTCAGAGACAGAAAAGCACCAGAGATGAATGATGGAGAAATTGGATCGCCAAACTTGCTCCTGGAGAAACAATGTCAGCCTTCCCTACCTCAGCATTAGCTCTCTACGCCTCAGTGCCTTTCACAGGGTCTTCAGCCTTTACTCTCTAACTTGGAATAAGGCTGAAAATAAAATATTGCAGGAAAGAAAAGCAGTGTATTCTAACAGTTCTGTATCCTATACAGTTTCCAAGGATTTGGAGGGAAAGTAATTAGTGGGGTGAACAATAAAACCATAGCGGAAGGGTAGGAAGAAGAGAGTTGTGAGCAGTGAGAAAGAGCTGCACATTAATTTGGGAGTGGCCTCGCACTTCTGTCCACATAAAGCAAATGAGGTTACTGTACTCGCTACATTCTCTGGATTTCTGCCAAGAGAGGACAATTGTCCTACACATGGCAGGGTTAGGATGACTTCCACAGTTCTGAGTCAGGAGGGAAAGAGCTTTGACTAAACGCCCTTTCTCTCCACAGAGCACAAAGGGGAAAGGGCTGCTCAAGCAAGGCACACTGAGGTCTGATCCCACTGGCCCCTTCCCAGGTCTGGTTTGTTCCTGCACCCCTGGCAGTTGTGTCATTAATTATTCTAACGCGTGTGGCGCTGCTTGTCTTCTGAGCTAGATGCTCCACTGAGGCACAGACCTATATGTTCTTTCACTGATATCAGCCAGCATAAGGGATGCTTCTTCATGAAAAGACAGTGGCTTAGTACAAAGACATCTCTTGAGAGACTTAGAGAGTGAAAAGACACCCGACGGAGCAAAAGGAACATTCAAAGAGAAGGCATCCCCTGCCACAAGCTACGCCAGCAGGAATCGTGGTGGTGGTGGTATTGTTTTTTCTCTGTGTAGCCCTGACTGTCCCTAAACAATCTCTGTAGACCAGGCTGGCCTGAACTCAGAGATCCACCTCTCCCTGCCTCCTGAGTGCTGGGATTAAAGGTGTGAATCACCCCACCCAACTAAGGAGTTTTAAGAATATAGTGAAAGGTCGTAATCTCCTTTGCAAATTGTTAAGTACGAATTTAAGAAATGTGAGCAATCACACACTGCTAAGACTAAGCATTAGAGAAGGAATGCCATGTCCAGCACCAGGAAGGCCTGCAGAGGCCAATGCTCAGACAACTTCCCAAGGAGACCAGCAAGTACCACCCAGGCAAGAGTCTCCCAAATGCCTGGTGAGCTGCTGAAGAAGCCATTTAGAAGACAATGGATTGGTCCATTTAGTGTCAATGACTCTTCCCACGGGATGCAATGCTGTGACCAGGACTGAAAACCATGCTCTCGTCAACAACACACTGGTTTTCTCTAAGACTCCATATTCCAATATTATACTCATCTCATCTGGCAACCAATCTTTACTTTTATTTTGCTCTACTCCAAATCATTACTAAAGTAGCATGAAATTTACTATGCCTTCCAGATAGAAAGTGATGCTATAATGCAATCGAATGGTCAGACTTACTGGGTATATCAGCAGACTGACAGACTCGGGCACACAGAACACTGAACAGATGATTCTTAGAAAGCTTTAATTAAGATACTGTTTGCTCAGCACACAAAACTGCTATTATAGCCCAAGCACGTACAGTTGGTTGCTCTCACGAATATCTAAATGGAGACTGACTGGGACTGAGAAGACACAGTCGTCAGTTTCTCTTCTCTCCTGGTGACCCATCAGAAGCTAGAGTCTGAAACACATTGAAATGTGTTGACTTCCAACATCCACAAACGCGCTAGCGGAGCCGGTCTTACTGTTCACACTGCTTGTTTTCTCCCTGGTACTTTAAGAGTACTTCAGCCTCGAATCACAAACGCTCACAAAGTTGTGCATCACAGCTAAGACTGGAGAGCAACAGAAAGCCTTAAAAGCAAACAAAATGAGGAGCAGAAGGAGGGAGAACATGAGCAAGGAAGTCAGGACTGCGAGGGGTGCGCCCACCCACTGAGACGGTGGGGCTGATCTAATGGGAGCTCACCAAGGTCAGCTGGACTGGGACTGATGGAGCATGTGATCAAACCGGACTTTCTGAATGTGGCTGACAATGAGGGCTGACTGAGAAGCCAAGGACAATGGCACTGGGTTTTGATTCTACTGCACGGACTGGCTTTGTGGGAGCCTGGTCTGTTTGGATGCTCACCTTCCTAGACCTAGATGGAGGGGGGAGGACCTTGGACTTCCCACAGTGCAGGGAACCCTGACTGCTCTTTGGACTGGAAAGGGAAGAGGGAGGGGGAGTGGGGGGAGGGGGAAGAAAATGGGAGGAGGGGAGGAGGTGGAAATTTTTAATAAAAAATTATAATAATTAAAGAAGAAAACCAGCCTACAAAAAAGAAAAAAGCAAACAAAAGAGCTAGTCTCCCAGGAGAGGTTAACTGCTAAAATGTGGGACAGCTTTTGGGAAGAAGTGACTCTTACAAAGCGAGGTAGGCTGGTGAGGGTTATCCTACGATGGAACAGAAAGGGTAAAGGTATCTACCTAACCAAAGGGCTGTCTTTGCAAACTCATTTAAATACAACCAACAATGAAAAATTTTGCAAAGATTCTTAGAATTCTAGAAGCAGTTAAGTTTTGAGACCATAGTAGAAATGACACAGGTCACTTAAACAAGTATGTATGGTTTTTTTCTCAATTTCTAAAATAAAATGTAAGGAAAAAATAGTTCTCTGATATCCTAAGTTTTAAATCACTATAAAACCTTAAGGCTAAGGACTGGAGGATGATTCAGTAGTTAAGAGTGTGGTGGCAGAGGACCAGAGTTCAATTCCCAGCCACTATGTGGTGGCACAACCATCTGTAACCCAAGTTCTAGGGGATCTGACACCCTCCTTCTAGCTTTAACAGGCAATACATACATGTAGTATCTATCCAAACATGCAGGCAAAATACCCAAACACATAACATAAAAATAACAAATCAAAAAAATTAAGCTGGTATAAACTAAGAATCTGAGCAAAAATATATATATACTTCTTTAATTAAGATATTTTCATATAAGACATAAAGAAGTTCAGAAATTGTAACTGTCCCTAGTTTGATCTGTCTTG